GTATAAAAGATGAGGTTTATATAGAGGTTAAGAACAATGTATAAAATTTTTGTACTATGATAGGAACTGATAGAAAAATTCACTCTGGAATGTTATGTTTGTCCATTGTTGTTTTAATTGTATTATGAATAAAAATTTAAAAAAAAAAAAAAGAAAAGAAAAAGCTGTCACTTAAAGTGAAGCTACAAGGGGTTCCATTGGCTATGGAACTGGATACGGGGTCTGCACTTTCGATCATTTCTATGCACACGTTTAGGAAGATTTGTTCTGGCAGCGGATTTCAGGCCAAGCTGAGGCCTTCCGACATTGTGTTAACAGACTTTCAAAACTCCAGAGTGTGTGTTAAGGGGGAGGCCACCCTTAACGTACAGTATAAGGATTTTGAAGGTCCACTAGATGTAGTAGTGGTAGGGGGAGAACGAATGAGTCTCATAGGACTCGATTGGTTTGAGGCCTTGGGAATACACGTCACAGGGCTCAATAGTTTGCAAACACTTGACCTACAAGAAGTCTGCAAAGAATTTGCAGATATTTTCAGCCCCCAGCTGGGCACATACAAAGGACCCCCTGTGTCACTGAAGTTAGACCCCACTGTCACCCCTATTAGAATCAAAGCAAGAAGGGTTCCTTTTGCTTTAAAGGGTAAAATTGACACTGAATTAGACAAATTGATTCAGCAAGGAGTCTTAGAACCTGTTGACTCCAGTCCTTGGGAGACCCCCATTGTCACGCCTCTTAAGGCAAATGGGGACATTCGCATCTGTGCAGATTACAAATGCACTCTGAATAAGGCATTGCAGCAACATGCCTATCCTGTTCCTGTGGTCAGTCATATCCTGGCCTCCCTCAAGGGGGGGCGCGTTTTTGCAAAGCTTGACCTAGCTCAGGCGTATCAACAGCTGCCTGTTGATGATGCTGCTGCTGTAGCTCAGACCATTGTGACCCATAGGGGGGCATTCAAGGTAAAGAGGTTACAATTTGGAGTAAATGTCGCTCCTGGAATTTTCCAAAGCGTAATGGAAAACACACTACGGGGTATACCAGGGGTTTGCCCCTATTTTGATGATGTCTTAATTGCAGGGGACTCTACACACAACTTAGCTGAGAGATTAAGGGCTGTTCTGCTGAGGTTCAGGAAAACGGGCCTCAAACTTAAGAAGGACAAATGTAAAATTGGGGTGCCTTCTACAGATTTTCTGGGATTCAAAATCGATGCTACCGGTATTCACCCTGCTGAATCCAAACTGGAAGCCATTATGCATGCCCCTAGGCCAAAGTCCAAAGCCAAACTACAGGCTTTTCTGGGCCTTCTGAATTTCTATAACTCCTTCCTCCCAAACAAGGCTAGTGTAGCTGAGCCTCTTCACAGGCTCTTGGACAAACAGGCAGTGTGGCAGTGGTCACAAAAACACAAAGCAAGTTTCAATGAGGTCAAGGCCTTACTCACTTCCAACAGTGTGCTTGCACATTTCAATGAATCTCTTCCTGTGTGCATCGCTTGTGATGCTTCTCCTTATGGGGTGGGAGCCGTACTAAGCCACCTCAGATCAGACGGAACTCAGGTTCCTGTTGCATATTACTCCAGAACCTTGTCTTCTGCGGAGCGAAATTATGCTCAAATAGACAGGGAGGCTTTAGCTGTTGTTGCTGGAATCAAAAAATTCCATGATTTTTTATATGGCAGGCATTTCACGGTCTTCACTGACCAATAAGCCTTTGTTGGGACTGTTTACCACACATAAACAAACTCCCCAGATCATCTCCCCCAGAATGCTGAGATGGTCTATCTTTCTGTCTGCCTATGATTTCTCCTTACTTCACAAACCTGGGAAGGAAATGGGCCATGCTGATGGCCTCAGTAGGTTACCCCTGCCGGTAATAGAAGCTGACCCTGCACCAACTATCAATATCCTTTCCATTCAGGCCTTGCCTGAGTCTCCTTTAGATGCCAGGGATGTGGCCGCTGAATCAGCCACAGATCTCACATTTGCACGTGTCCTTTCGTGGGTTTTATCTGGATGGCCAGAGAGCTGTCCTGGCACTGAGTTTCAGAGTTTCTGGTCCAAAAGGAACGAATTGTCCACCTTCCAGGGTTGTCTGCTTTGGGGAAGCAGAGTTGTCATTCCTACCTCAATGAGGACTAGGGTCTTAGGTTCCCTCCACGAGGGTCATCCTGGCATTGTGCGCATGACGGCGCTTGCACGCAGCCATTTGTGGTGGCCTGGGTTAGATAGAGACATTGAAGCTAAGGTGCATGCATGCCGCCTTTGTCAACGCTCGCGCCCTGAAATGCCCCAAGCTCCTGTACATAGATGGGAGGAAACACAGTCTCCATGGTCTAGGGTGCCCATTGACTACGCTGGGCCCTTTCAGAGTCAATTCTTCTTGGTCCTAGTTGATAGCCATTCAAAATGGCTTGAGGTTGTACCTGTCTCTTCCACCACCACTGCAAAGACTATTCAAGTACTGAGGGGGATTTTTGCTGCACACGGGCTTCCAGACGTCCTCGTGTCTGACAACGGCCCTCAATTCACTTCTTCCGAATTCCAAGCTTTCTTACAGGCCAACATGATTCGTCATGCCACCTCTGCGCCTTTCCACCCGTCCACCAACGGTATGGCTGAACGCATGGTTCGCATCACCAAGGATGCCTTGAAGAAAATTACCTATGGAGACTGGCATCACAGGTTGGCTGACTTCCTCCTTTCTTATCGCACTACACCGTCCACTTCTACCGGGAGGAGCCCAGCTGAACTTCGTTGGGGGTGCAAACTGACCACCAAGCTTGACCGGTTGCATCCGGACAGACTTCCTTCCACACTCACACACCCCAGGGCACCTAGACAACTGTTTGTGGGTGCCCCGGTTTGGACTCGTAACTATGGGCCTGGCCATTCATGGGTCCCCGCCATTGTATCCAGAGTCACAGGTCCTCTGTCCTACGAGGTGTCCCTGGACAACGGTCGTGTCCTGCGTCGACAGATTGACCAGCTCCGCACTAGATGGGACCTGCCCACTGAGACTCCTGGGTCTTTTCCAGGGGGGGAGGGGGACCCTTTAGGGCAAAGGGAAGAGTACGGGCTGCTGTCCATCATTAATGAGGAAGCTACAGACAGCTCAATCCAAAGTTCCGCGAGTGCTCCAAACAGGAATTCACAGAGCCCAACTAGAACTCAGGCACCAGTGCCTACTCCAGCCAGGGAGTCACCCCAGGGGCATAATCACTACTCACCTGCATCACTCAGTACTCCAGTCAGGGAGGATATCCGGGAGCGTCCAAACAAACCACACCCTGCAAGAGAGCTGGCACACATTCCCTCTAGTTGGCCCGACACTACCCCTGTCCTAGAAGGGGGCAAGCATACAGGGAGGTGGTCGAGGAACCAAATCCCGACTACAACACCTCTGACTTCACTCAGGGGACAACTGAGTTTTGGGACAGCACTGAAAACCCCACAAGCCCGGGGACAAAACAGGAACAAGGGGAAAGACAACTTCCTGACAGGTCTTGGACGGACCTGGGAGGTTCTATAGAATCGCCCAACAGTGACAGTAACTTAAGAGGGCCAGAGAGCCTGCAGCTAGGCAGGACAACCAAGTCAAACAGAGAAAGAAGCCCTGGCCTGACGAGCCCGGTGGGCAAGCAAGCAGGCCAGGCAGTGGAGCACAGTCCTTGGGAATCACCAGAGTGTAAAGGGGGGACAGGTATGCATCACCCCTCAGTCAAGGGGTACTTGGCAGGTACCCAGAAGCCAGGAGGTCACAGAGAGCCAGAAGATCTCCTAAGTATTTAGAAGATTTTGTAACTCTACTGGCAAAACAGAGTTAACAGAGAACATTACTGTACACATAGGAAATTAGAACACTGGGAATAATAGAAGCAGAGGAAATAACTGGCACTAGGTAGTATGGGCACCACGCTCGCATTAGGTTGTATGTTATTATTGTATGATCATAGTCTTAGCTGGGGAGGAAGGGGTGTTATGTCCTGAGCCTGTGGAAGCAGGCTCGGGGCATTGCAACGGTCCTGGGCAGGTGCAAGCTGCCCGGGACCAGACTGGCTGTCGCCAGCACTTGCGCGCATGCACGGGTGCTGGCGCGCCAAATGTTGCAGATTGGCCCGGGAATGGCCTATAAAAGAGGCCGGGAGATTGGGCGTTGTCGGCGTCTTGTAACCAGTATGCTGAACAGAAATAAAGAAGTTCCTGAGAACTACAACTGCTTCTCGTGTCATTGCCATTTCGCGAAGGACGCAACAAACTGTGTTTCACATTTTGTCATATAACAGGCAAAATAGAGACAGCAAATTTATATTTTTGCACTGCTTCTTTTCCTGAGACTCCATTTCTTAGTGAAAATAGTGGGCAAGAAATATGAATGTACATATACATTTTCTAATCAGGATTCAGCTGAGTTTGAGTAAGAAGCTAAATTTTGTTATTACTGTGCATTAATGTAATGCTCAATATTTTGTTGTGGTTAGTGTAAAAGATGTATGTTGTATGTACATGCTTTTATTTCTTGACTGATCCACTGAATACTGTAATTGATGGGAAATCATGAGCTGTACTATATTCATACTAATAAATATAGCAGCCCAGGTTTTCTGCAGAAAAATTGCACAATATAAGAGGTGATTTTTGACTAACATTTGAAGATTTAATCTATGCCTTTAAATGGTGTGTATTTTTCTTAATGAATACTCAAATTCTACTTTATTTATTTATTTGTTTGTTTTTCACATTTTTGAACTACCCATCTCCCTTAGAGATATATATGTACATATCTTCTTGCTGGATTCTTTATACCTCAATAAACAAAAAGCAGAATATAACTTTAGAAAAAACTATACTTAGCTACTTAATTATCATGACAAGAGTAAGTTGCCCCCCCCAACTCTAAAATAGCATCCAGCAAAGGGAAGGGAGTCTCCCAGGCTGAACTCTACACCGGCCCAAAATGGATGGAAACAAATTACAAAGAAATGGGGAAAATGCTACCTCAGGCTCTGGCCATACAGCAGGATTGTGATGGGTCCCAAAGATACTGATCAGGCAGATGTTCCCTGGAGAGAGAAGAATTTAATGAACTCTGGATGCCACCAAAGGTAGATTCACAAAAGCAGGAAGTGGGAAAAGGAACATGCCAGAACTTGGCAAATGAATTGCTGTTGTTAATAGATAGAGCAAAGAATAGGACAGCAATCTGTTGGCTTGTGTTTAAGCATGTTTCATATCTTTGTTAATGCAACAGATTTTCAGAAGAGCTGAGATCTTCCTTTAATGACTTGATGGCACATAATCAAGCTACCAACCAATCAATCAGTTTATGGCTCTGCTACTAGCCTAGAGTTGCCCCATAAAGAGGACCAGCATGTGCTGCCTGATTGTTACTCTCTTTCCTCCAGCTTTTCCATCCCTGTTCATCATCATTTCCATCATCTTCCATGATGGCCATTCATTGTTCCTCCACTTCTCTGCCCTGATGGTGCAGTCATCTCATTACCCCCCCCCCCCGCTAGTTGCTCTTGGGATGGACAGAATGCTTCTTTCATCGAGTCAGGCAAATCAAGCAAGATGACCTCAGAGAACCACAGGAACAGCCTCCCTGTCTTCTGTTCCAGCAATCGCAGCATACAAGCCTTTAAAAACAGTCCCTAGTAATTTGCCACAATGCAAACCCAATTTAAGGTGAAACTGTAAACAGTTTGTGGCAAAAATGTCAAAGTGTTTTTAGAGTCAGCTTTGTAACTGGCAGCCTTTTTTGATAGCTAGATGCAGAAGAAACTTGTAGTTCTGAAATGACTTCTGGAATCCCGACTGATGGACTTACCATAGAAAAAGCTATAAAGTTTCCTGAGCAGTGAAAAGTCATGTTCAAAAATAACAATAAATGTGTCTAGCTCAAACTAGATGACATAGGAAGACCCATGTTTTTTTCCCACAGATGTGACATGATATACCAAGCAAATGTTTTCTCCTACAAATAGCAACAAAAAAAATAACAGGAAGGAAGGACAACAAGCGTCTCATTCTTTCAAGAAGAATGAGACATACGAGCCTGAGCAAAACGTGGAACATAACACCTATTGCTGTAAAACCCATAATAATAGAATTCTTTTTTATTATTTTGGGGTGATATAATTGCTTGTTAAGTATAGATTTATTAGTTTAGAAATGGCCAGTGCAGAATTTGGAAAAGCAGAACAGTCTCATTCAGTTTACATTAAATAAATACTGTAAAAGGCTCTCTAATACAAGGGAAAACACACTCAATACAGTATATGACCAACTTTCCAAACTGGGATCTTTTTCTTATTCAATATACTTTGCACTTTATTTACCTCACTTTGCACTTTGTTTAGTTCATAATAGGTTTAATTATCATAAAATCATAGATTAAAGAAGAGAATCCAGATGCCAGATACAGATAATTAGCAAAGGATGGCACGGGGGTCCTTCCATAGCAGATACCTTTAGGGATAACTCGTCCATCGGGAAGGTTCACATCTTCAGTGCAGCGTCGAGATATGGTTGTGACTGGAGGGTGCAGGCGCAGGCTCTCTTTGATGCACATGGTGGTGAAGGGCATGAGGGAGAGATCTTTCCTGAGAAGAGTTATTTGTCTGTTTGTTTGTTTGTTTACTTACTTATTAAATTTATTTGCTGCCCGTCTTGTAATGAAATGTCTCTGAGTGGCTTACAGCATTGAGATAAAAAAAATTCAAGTAATGATAAATAAGATTCCACTGCAGGAGAAGCTAATGGGAAAAAGAATTCACATTCAGTAGGAATTCCTAAAAAGAACATCTTAAAAGCATAACAAGGAAAACAAGCATAACAAGGGAAACAAAACAGGAAAGATGAATAAAAAAATGTCTATGGAGATTCACAGTCATCTAGGTCATGGTTGTCCCAAACGTGCTTTTTCTTCTTCAAAAAACAAAACAAAATAAAAAAAAACAAAAAAAAACAAAAAAACAAGAAAGTCCAGTTACCTCCTGAAAAAGCATCTTTGAGACAATCATGACCTGGAATACTAAGAATCTCCATAGACATTTAGCTATGCATTTTGGGATGAACATCCTTCGAATGGTGGAAGAGTATGAACAGAGTTCCAGAAAACATTGCAGACTACAGGAACCATTTGCGCTTCAGTTTGAGATGCAGAAACACAGACTCATCCCCAACAGCCTGCACCTGTCTTCAACAGTGAAGGGACACAGGGCAGAAAACATCCTGCAGCCAAGAAAGCTCCACACACATTTGCACCAATCAGGTGATTCTGAGGATAAACCTCTAAATGACCTCAATGACTCTCTAAAAGAAATGGTCAGCTGTCTGCAAGGAATATAAACCCTTCCATTCCACACCATCCAGTCAGAACTGAAGAAGCTTCTTGGATGAGAAGCGAAATGTCTTCAAAGAAAAACAAGAAAGTCCAGTTGCCTCCTGAAAAAGCAGCTTTGGGTTAGAGTTAGAGAACATATGGTTAAGGTGAAATTCAGAAGAATTTCAGATTTTTCAGAACTCTGGGATATAAACCATCTGATCCTGGCAATTTCAACTCATTTAAGGTGGAAAAGTGTTTTCTTACTTATTTTTACCTGAATTCCTCTTTTTCTTTCTCACTGGGCTTTAATAATTTCATTTTTCAGAGTCTCCCAAGTATCTCCCAGGTGATGTCAGGTAGCTAATGTACCCCATTATTACAGTGGTATGTTTCCTGCATACCTTATTTAACTGAATAGTAAAATGTTCATCTATTTTCTTTGCCCAGTTGGATGGCTTGTAGTATATGCCTAAAGCAATGTCATTTCTCTTTCCTCTAATATTCACCCAAAACCATTCAGGAGGGCTTTCATCCTTGATATTGTGTATTTTTGTAATGGTATAGTGATTTCTTACAAATAGTGGCATTCTTTAGATTTTAGAAAGAAAAAAGTACAGTATTTGTATCATGGCTACTCAGTAAAGAATAAGGAATAATGGAAAATATGAAATAATTATATAAAATTGTTGTGACTAGAGGCTGGCTTTGGTAGATGCCAAAACCCACCATTTTAGCCATTTCTCAAAACTCCCTGTGAACTAGCCTACACATTTTGCCTGGTCAAACCCAGAAAAAGCAGGAGCCTGTTTTGATGAGCTACAGCCAGGATAAAACCTGTAGGTGGAAAGCCAGGAATTTGTCAGAACTGTTTGAAAAGAAAGGGAATATGTTCTGATCAGGGTTTTTTTCTCATAGAATGCCCAGAACAGAGTTCCGACACCTTTTTTGGATGGAACCTTGTAGGGTAGGCAAGGCAAGTTGTATGACGTGTGTGAGTTCCGGCACCTTTTTTTTTTTTTTTTTTTTTTAGAAAAAAAGCACTGGTTCTGATGGTGATTTAGCTTTGGGTGTTCAAACCAGACCCACTGTATATGTACAGCTTGATTGCTGCCAGACTGCACTTGATTTTGTAACCAGATAAAGTATTCTGGCAGCATTGACTGTTCTTTCAATATTCAGCTTGCTGACTGTAGCTAAAAACAAAGTAGATTCTCTAAAAGAGTATTTTGCAAAATTTGCTGAGAGCCAATCACACCAAACTGACCACCCTGCCAAGACAAAATCTGTTCCTGGATTGTGCCCCATAAATAGCCAGCCGAGGAAAAGAGAACCCTACCTCAGAACATGGCCTAATGAAGGGAAAGGACAGAGAAAATCTCACAAAGAAAAGCAAGAGTCAAACTAAGAAAGCTTATAATAGGCAAATGTCTCCTACAAAATAGTTGGGTAACTCTGCAAAACTTAAATAACGTAATAAACAAAGGCAGATGGGAATTTTAAAAACTTATATTCCAGAACCTAAGCCAGTCACTTTGCTGTGTAGACAAATAATGGACTTACAAAATGGCTTCCATTTAGAGACAGCTACAGTTGAGTCCTGTTTATATTTGGGCAGCCTAAAGTCCTCAGTCTGCTCTTGAAAATGAAACCGTTCTTGAGCATCTTTCTGATCTTCCCTATTTCTAGTTCAATTTGACCAAAAAGGTACTGGCATTTTAACATACACATGTAATATTCCCTAAGCAGACAATTTCAAGGACACCTTAACAATAGGTTCTCTAACTCTAAGCAAACAACTTGCATAACCCTCAACAATACAATCATTTAATGAACTTCTGGACCAGGGTTTCTCAACCTTGGCAACTTGTGTGGACTTATTGCCAGAATTCCCCAGTCAGCATATGAAGATGTTCTTAGTGATGTAACATTATAATTTCACTTATGGAAGACACTAGCTCTGGCTTGGTTCACTTTCTCATTCAAGTAACATATGAATCTGCCTTGATGTTCCACCCTCTGGATTGCTTTCTTTCTGTCCACAGTCCATTACCATTCAATTTCTTTTCTTTCTCGCTCCTGCAGCAGATCCTGAATCTCTGTCCGACATTGGTCTTGATACTTGGGGTTTTGAGCGAGATTGTATAGAATCCAGGACAAGCCACTTGCTGTAGTGTCATGGCCTGAAATGAGACAAAAGTCACATGGAAACTGCCCAGAGCAGGACTACTTGATAGTTGTCAAAAGGGATCACATTTGAAGATTTTTGTTTAAGATAACCATGCCAAGGATTCCAAAGACAATTCTTCTTCTTTTACATTTGACAAAATAGACCACAGCCTATCTCTTGGTAAGCTAGAAAAATGTGGGATAGACAACATCACTACCGGATAGATTTGTAACTGATTGACAAACCATACTCAACAAGTAGTCTTTAATGGTATTAAATCTATATGGAGGGAAGTAAATGGGGAACCACAAGTTTCCATCTTAAACCCAGTACTCTACTCTTCAATATCTTCATAAATGATTTAGATAAGGGAATAGAAGGAGAACTCATCAAATTTGCAAATGACACTAAGCTGGAAGCAGTAGCCAAAACCCCACAAGATAAGCTCAGGATCCTAAAAGTTTTACATTTAGGCAGGAAAAAACAAAGGTACAAGTACAGATTAGGTGAAACCTGGCTCAAAAACAGAAACTGTGAGATGGACCTTGGAGTCCTAGTGGACAATCACTTAAATATGAGCCAGTAGTGTTCAGCAATAGCCAAAAAAGCTAATATAATCCTTGGCTGTATAAACAGAGGCACAGAATCAAAATCATGTGAAGTATTAGTACCACTTTATCTAAGTAAGACCACACCTGGAATACTGAATTCAATCAGAATAGAGCTGGAAGGAACTTTGGAGGTCTTCTAGTCCAGCTGTCAGAACCCATATTCTAAGGGGGCTCTTTCTAACTTTAATTCTAACTCTAATCTTTCTAAACTTCTGGGTTCTGCCATGCTGCTGGAGGGGAGGGGGGAAATGCTGCGGGCTATTTCTTTGTTTTCCTCTATCGCTACACTGTAACACTTTTGCTATTTCTGCATATACGCCCTTTGAACTATCTTCCCCCTTGATGTCAGCTTGAAAGGGGGTAGGAGAAAGGAATGCGCCTTCGGCAAATGGTTTATCTCTGCTTTTCGAAGGGAAGGTGCGAAGACCCGACAAAACATCGCTGCAACCCTGAGACAGCCTGGCATTTCAGCTCTTTCCCACAATGGACCTGGAGACTGGCCCATTCGAACTGACCAGATAAACTACTGGGGTGGGGTTTGCTTGGGACACTTTTAACCTATTGATCTGAGCAGGAAACCTTCAGATCCTATCTATTATGCCTACTATTAGCTTCTCCTAATAAAAGTTCCTTTTGGAAGAAACTACTTCCATGAGATCTGCTTTCTTAGGATGAGGTTTTGAAGTGGGCCCTGACATTAGACAGGATCTGCAGTAATAGTCAGCCCAGAAAGAAAGCCCTTACCAGGGGACTTGGCAAATCATGTCAGACAATGGAATAGAGAGAGAGGACCCTGCTACGGAGGGGGAGGAAGCCTCCCGATGAGCAGACCCTTGCAAATACTCCAGCTCTGGATCCTCAAGCTCTTTGGAAGAGGAGGTGGTGACAGAACACTGCCACAAACCTAGGTGGTCTATGGGCATTGGAAGGAAGGATGACTGGGAGAAGAAGGCCAGAAAGATGACAAGGCAGCCATCAGCCAGGCTAGAAGAAGGAGATGGAACGGTCTCTCTGTCTCAGCGAGGATGAGGAGGATTGTCCAGGGCACTCAAACTGATTGCTGGAACAGGCAGTCGGCATTATGAAAACAGCCTTTGACTCCATGAAGGAGGAGAAAGCTGAACCCTACCAAGGTACCATCCACCTGGGATCCAGCTGGTGACCCAACGAGGGGGAAGCTGAACCCGAGGTTCCAGACCCATCCAGCCATAGAAACCACTGCGGTTACTGCTGTTGCAGCCACCCAATCGTGTGGAAATGACAGACAGAGAAGGGAGATGACACAAGTGGAAAAAGCGACACCGATCCATCCAGAAGTTCCGTCCATTAGATTTAAAGTTCCGTGGGGAGCCACAGCACCTGGGATTCTTCTTAACTTAGGTGCTAAACTATATGGAGTAGTATAGCCGGGACATCCCAACCGACCAAGCCAGAATTTGCATCATGCAAGCCACCCTGGATGGCATCACAGCGGACTGGGTCATAGACCTCCACAATTCCAACACCCCGGAGTTACTGAATTTCAATCAATACATGGTCTCCCTCAGGTGCCGTTTCGAAGACCCTTTGGCTGACTGAAAAGCCCATGAGAGGATAAAGACGGTGAAGAAAGGCAGGCGGCCATTGGCAGAATACACCCAAGAATTTCGAACCCTGGCCAGCAAACTGAACTGGCCATAGGACATCCTGCTCAGCCACTTCAAAGATGGATTAAACTATGACCTCTACGATGCCTGCCTCCTTTGGGGAGATCCTCATTGGCTGCAAGATCGGTATGTCCTAGCCAAGGAAGCCAAGATCGACCTGGACAAGAGGCAACACAGAGGAGGGAGATCGTGGGGGAACTCACTATTGGAGCCAACCCGCGAGCCAGCAAAGCAGCCATTGACCTTCAAAAGAACCACCAGGTGTTTCAAGTGCGGAAAAGAAGGGTACCACACTGCCGAATGCCGCTCTTGCACTGCAACTGGAAAATCAGACCGGACCCCAGCTGTGAAGCCCAGAAAACCACCAGCGAAGCCAAAGGAGACAGCCATAAAAGGCACGGAGGCCGTCGAGTTCCCTGCCTCAGCTTCACGAGGAAAGGGAACTCCGGCCCACACTGGAGGAGCATCCCACTCATCTGACGACAACTCCGAGGACAAACCCCTGGTAAGTGGACTCATTGCACTCCTCACCCAGGGCAGTAACATTGTTAGCCCCAGACATGCCTGAAGTCGTAGAACTCAGGGCATTAATTGACTCTGGTTGTACACACTGCCTTATAAGCCCAATGTTAGTGGGGAATCTAGGAATACTGGTGAGGAGGCTGAAAAAAACAGATCTTGTTTGGTCAATTAGATGAGTCCATAGCAGGGGGGATGCCTGCCATCCTAGCAACACTACCACTTCAACTCACCCTGGAGGACTACATAGAGACTATAAATTCATGGTAACCCCTGGCATGGAATGTCCCATAATCCTGGGCATAGCGTGGTTAGCCAAGTGGAACCCACAGGAGGACTGGAGGATGGCAGAGCTTAGATTCCCAAAAGGAGAATCAACCAAGGCACCAGCCCAGCCCCCACCAAGGGGAGTCCCGGCCGAGAAAGCTGCAATAGGGGGAGAAAAGGAACTACCAGAAATATCAGAGTAGTATAGAGACCTGGCTGAAGTATTCAGTGAGGAAAGTTCTGATGAATTGCCACCTTATCGGCCCATAGACTGTGCGATAGAAATCAGACCAGGCACGAAACTTCCCAAACCTAGATTGTACTCCATGAGCCCGCAAGAATTGGAAGAAATGCAGAAATTCATAGACAAAAATTTAGAAAAGGGTTTCATTCAGATGGCAAAGCTAAAAATGGCTGCTCCTGTATTATTTCGAGAAAAAAAAGATGGAACTCTTCGTCTGTGCATGGATTATAGGGCTTTGAATGCCATAAGTGAAAGCATCTATACCCTCTCCCCCTCATGAAGAACATGTTATCCCACCTTTCAAAGGGGAAGATTTTCACCAAACTGGACTTAAGGGAAGCTTACTACCAAATCAGAATTAAGGAAGAGGATGAGTGGAAAACTGCCTTCAATTGTCCTTTGGGTTGTTACCAATTCTGGATTCTACCTTTTGGGCTGCAGGGAGCTCCTGCTCTATTCATGCAGTTGATAAATGACATGCTAAAGGAACATCTGTACAAAGGCGTACTCATTTATCTGGATGACATCCTTATATTCACAGAAACCATGGACGAACATGTCAAACTGGTCAGAGCAGTCCTAAACAGTCCTAAACCTACGGGCAGCTCATCTCTATGCAAAACTTTCTAAGTGTGAGTTTCATAAGAATAAAATAGATTATCTGGGATATAGCATATCCCCAGAGGGCATAGAAATGGATCCTGAGAAAGTCCGAGCAGTGCTAGAATGGGCGCCACCCCGCACTAGGAAGCAATTGCAGAGCTTCCTGGGATTCGCCAACTTTTACCGGCAATCTATTCCCTCCTTTGCCCAAATAACCTTACCAATCACGAATTTACTGAAAACCAGAGGGAAGAGAAAACCCAAGCCAAGCTAGCCGTTAAAATGGACAGTAGAATGCCAAGTTGCATTTGAGAGGCTGAAAAAGCTGTTTTCCATAGAACCAGTTCTAAGGCACCCCGACACCAACAAGCCTTTCGTAATTCAGGCAGATGCCAGCGTTGCAAGAGAACAACGAAGGGGCATTACATCCCTGTGCATATATATCAAGAAAACTCACCAAAACAAAGCAGAGATGGGCAGTCTGGGAAAAGGAGGCGTACACAGTGCAATAGGCTCTTCTCACATGGCGGCACTTTTTGGAGGGGAACAAAAGAACCTGGAAGCACTAAAAATGCCCAGGAAACTTACCCCTAAGCAATCACGGTGGTCACAACACTTACATCATTTCAATTTCACACTGAAACACCTGCCGGGGGGGGGGGGAGAAACTTCCTGGCAGACACATTATCCAGAATGCCACAATATAATAGCACTTGGGCTAGTGTAACAAAGCCGCTCATGCCGGAAAAACAACTGGCAGCATGAGTAACTACCCAAGCACAAGCTAAACTCTAAAAGCCGTTAGCCAGCCAGGCAGGAACTGAATTTAGAAAAGCACTAGAAACCAACAAATGGTTCCTAAGCCACAAAAACCTGTGCACTTTCACAGCTGGTCTACTGTGGTTGGGAGAGAAGTTATACATACCTAAAAGTCAGAGACTGACATTCATGCAACTTTGCCACAATTCAACATCTGCAGGCCATTTTGGGTTTGTGAAAACACTACATCTGGTTAAAAGGCAATTCTGGTAGCCATCAATAAAGAAGGACATTGAAAGCTATGTAGCTAGCTGCCCAATTTGTGCTTCAGCGAAAAGATTACAAGGGAAGTCACCTGGGTTAC